TGGACACAGTAGGACTCAGGTGAAGTACAAACACAACAGTGGGGTTTTGAGAACCAGAAATATCAGCAGCAATCTCCATGACCCCGGTCTTTGGTCTCTTAGCAGCTGGTATGTCTACATAACTACTGGCTACAGATAGCACCCATGGTGTTCCCCTCCCACTGCCAGAATTTGGTCATAGGTGAGCTCTCTCTTCCCTCTGGCCTTACCCCGCTCCATACCAGATCTCTACTCCTAGTGAGACTTTACCTTCCCTCATCTGTCCCGGTGCTAAAGCAAAGGGTTTCTGTTCCCCTTGCCAGTTACGTTCAGTCTCAGGGGTCCTGCCACCCTTCATTGGTAGCACTGGCTGTACCTCTTGAATTAGTTTTCTGGAGAGGACTAATTACCTGATGATGAAATGCAACGAACGTTATCTGATGATGAAATGCAATGAACGTTAGCCCAGACTCCCAGCCACCCACCAACATTAGCATTGCTTCTCAGATCCTAGGCGTGGGGGAGGGGTATGAACTTGCTGGAAGAGGAACTGAGATACTGAAAATCCAGTCCAGTCCTTACCCCAATGGGGGGCTGTGCATTGAAGACCATCATCTCCTTGTCCCGGTCCGACCTCCCTCAAGACTGGCAGAAGAAGAACCCGAGGCTTCTTCCTAGTCTTTCAGGCCGAGAGGGGAACCATCCTTGGTGGCAGGCTCCCCATCGCATGTCCTGGTGACCCTAGTTTCCCTGTGCCCAGGGTTGGATGAATGAGGCCGAGGCCGCAGGACATCACTGATCAAAATGCGAACACCCTGTGAGATGCTCATGGCTCCCACAGTGGCCAGCCCGGTGCCACCAAGGACAACCAGAGCAGGAGGCACCTGGTGGTGGTGCTGGAGCAACCACAGGCTCATCCACCCCAGTGGTGCCAGGCGGAAGAGGGCCAGGGTGGCCAGGGTGGCCCAGCTGGCCACACTGAAGGCCAAGGATGGGGCCTGGCGAGAAAGCAGCAGCAACTTTCTTAGGTGCAGGCAGGCGGAGTTCAGCTCGAGGAGCAGAGACACCACAGAGAAGCCCACATAGTGGTCGGACAGAATGGCGGTGCCGAGGCAGCTCACTACCTGGGGAGCAAGGGCCAAAGGTTAGAAGACCTTCCGTGACCTACCACCCATCGCGTCCTAATATCCCAGTCCTCCCAAGCATGTTCTGGCATTCTTTCCCTGAAAACACCCAACTTTAGGCTTACCCTACGCCAGGAGCCTGCAAAGCTTTGAAACCATCTTTCTCTAGGATGGAAGCAGCCTTGGCCAGAGGCTGTCTTCTCTGGGGCTGCAGCATCTGCAGAGTAACCCCCCAACTTCCATCCTGGCCTTTCATGCCCCATTCCCACTCCCAATACTGGGGCTCCCTCCTTCTCAGAAAAGCTTCATGTTTAACATTTCTCAATCGACAGGACACCTGTGCGGGCGAATGCAAGCCCCTGAGGCAGTGCTCAGACTCGCAGCTGTGCCAGCAGGCAATCCCCGCCCCTCAATTCAGCCCAAGGTTGGGAGGACCAAGCCCAGGGGAGAGAGGGGTGTCAGAGGCTCTCTGGGAAGTCATGGGACACAAAGCTGATGAGAGATCGGGGTCTGCAGTCGGTACACCTCCCGTCCTGCCTCGCCTCTCCCTGAATCTCACCGCCAAATGGTGACAGAGAAGATCCCAGGCCTGGCCCAAGGTCTGGTTCTGCAGCATGTCGGCTCCGTCAGCCAGGAAATAACCTGTGGGGAAGGACGGCAGCTAGGGTACAGCCCGGAGAGAAATCTCCAGCCCCTGCCTTTCCCAGTGCTTTCCTCCCCCTCAGTAACGCGGACAGAAGCGCACTGGGATTACCGTTGGAAGCTGTTCCCCGCCCCCAAGCTGGCCCAGCCTTCCCTGCAGACTCACCCACAGATACAGCCACCAGCACCAAGGCCCAGCGCGGGTGGCCATGAATGGGGTCGGCGGCCATCTGAGGGTATAGCAACAGCCTAGAGGAGACGGGGGAGCCACCGTCAGCTACGTGCAGAGCGGATTCTCCTGCAGGGCACGCCCGTCCACCCATCCCAGCCTCAGACTCTCAAGGTTTAGCATCCCTTCTAAAGGTGCCGCCAGGTCTTCTAACGTGAGCTTCCCATCCCTCGCCCTCACCCAGGTCCCTCCCGAACCTCTAAGCCTCGCACCCGAGCAGCGCCCCGGGCCCCGTGAGCAGGCTGTGCACCAGGGAGACACAGATGTTCTGCCACTTCCAACGGTTCTGAGCCGCAGAGGCCGGCGTGGGCAGCAGCTGCAGCCCCCAGTGCAGCCCCCGGAAAGCTGCGAAGGAGGCACCGGTCACCAGGAGCCCCGAGGGCGCCATGGCCGGGCGGGCGGGCTAGGTCCGGATCGGTTCCGTGGGCCCCTGCGCACTCGCCCCCGACGCATCCGACGCCCGCTCCAGAGTCTGTGACCCGCGTCCCGGCGGGGCTGCGTTCCTGGGCTCGCTGGCCCGCCCGGCCTGGGGAATCCGCAGTAACTTTTCCAGGGCTGGTCCGCGATCTCTCGGCTGGACGGTGATTGGAGCAGCCGCGCGGCCACCGCCCCTGGAGCCTAGGCAACCGACCGCGTCCCCGCCCTAGCGACAGACTGCGGGCTGGGGGCTCCCGGGATCGGCGGTGCCACGGAGCTCAGGGGACTTCTGGGAAGTCGACAGAGGTCTCCCCCAGCTCCCCGAGTCCTGAACTCTTTAGAGCTCCAGAAATATGTCACTGATCTCACCTGACACTCCCGGAGGCCCCGCCCCACTAACTTTCCCCTCTTTCCCTCCTCTCGAATCTTACAATCTGGTTATCTCTCCCACCCCACCCACACAGCCCTGGGGTGAGAGGCCAGGGCAAACCCACTGCCACTTGCTCACACCCCTCCCCCGTCTCAGGTGTGGGGGAGAGGGCACTTGACTGCCTTGGAGCCAGGCACCCCTTCTACCTCCGGAGGTTTCCAGGCCCACAGCGCATCCCAGCAACCCTACAGTTCCAGGAGTCCTGCCCCCTCACCTAGTACCTCTCAAATAAAACAGCTGCAGCTTCCATTTGGGAGAGGGAGGGGCCCACTGGAAACTGCTCCCTCCACCTTTTTTGGGTGCCCTACAGAGGAGTCTCATCATTAGGAAGGGGAGGCAAAGGGAACCACTCAGCACTATAGTCCTGAAAAGCACCCCTCCCCCGAGCTGGTACCTGGTGGGTGGGCAGAATATCTCCCAATCCGAGGAGGCCGGGAGAGGTCAGAGTCACCTCAAGGTTTGGACAGAATCGAAGAGAAAACAGCGCATCGTGCTTTCTGCAGCAGGATTGTTAGGATTCCAGAAGCCTTCAGCCTGTAAAGGAAAATCTCTCCCCCACCCCTATTTCCTGAGGAGTTGGTACTGCTTTCCATCTTACTCCACACCTGGAGCTGGTTGCCAGCCAGAAATTCAGGGCCCTTTCCTGTACGTGGAACAGGCAGATTCCAGTTACTGCCAGGGAATGAATTTCTTAAGCAGATAGGAGGCTCTCACAACCCTCTTTCCCCACCAAAACCCCATTCAACCCAAGCGGCTAGGGACATCCCTTCATTCTTCCACACCCATCTCTCCAATTTTTTTTTTTTTAAGTTACACTGATTCTTTTAAATTTTGTTATATGAAAGCCATCCACAATTAATGTAGCAAATTTGGAAGTTACAGAAAAAAAAAAACCAGAAGAGGAAAATTACAATTACTTTATTCCACCATCCAAAGATAACCACTATTAACACTTTGGAGTATAGCCTCAGTCTCTATCTGTTTCATGTATTGTATGCAAGTATATACTTACATTTTAAAAAACAAAATTGAGATCACATGATATACTGGTACACCATTTTTATAATCTTTTAATTTTTTTGTTAATCCTCACTGAGAGTCTTTTCTCCATTGATTTTTAGAGTGGAAGAGAGGAAGGGAGGGAGAGAGAGGAGAGAGATATGGATTGGTTGCCTCCTGCAACCTAGGTACATGCCCTTGACCAGGAATTGAAGCGGAGACCCATTGGTGCACTGGCTAATGCTCTAACTGACCAGGGCTATAACCTTTTTTAATATTTAAAGAAAATTTTTCTTTTCAAATATTCTTCATGACTTTTAAAAAATACATTTTTATTGATTGCAGAGAGGAAGGGGAGGGAGATAGAAACATCAATGATGAAAATTATCAACCAGCTGCCTTCTACACACCCCCTACTGGGGTTCAAGCCCGCAACCCTGGCATGTGCCTTTGACCGGAATCCAACCTGGGACCCTTCAGACCACAGGCTGACATTCTATTCACTGAGCCAAACCGGCTAGGGCTCTTTTATGTGACTTTTAATGGCTGTGTAGTACTCCACCATCTGGATATATATACAATAATTTATTTAAGCAACCCCCTATTGCAAATTTTCTTTACAGCAGAAATGAATTCCCAGACAATTGCTTCTCTATTGCAATGCTGGAATGAACATCCTATAACTAAGTATTTTCTTAGGCTAAATTCCCAAACGTAGGATTACTAGGTCAAAGGCCATGTAATATGTTTGATACATAGTACCAAACTTACATCCAGGAAGGCTGTACCAATTTGTACCCTATATGCATGTATGTGAGTGTTATTTTGGTACTCCTTTGCTGACAACTGGGTCTTATTTTTTCTGTTATAGCTTGCTATGAGAAAAATGCTTTGGGGGGGGGGGTGAAGGAGGTCAATGGGGGGGAAAAAAGGACATCTGTAATACTTTCCACAATAAAGATAAATAAGAAAAAGAAAAATGATTACAGCTGTATTTGCCTCTCTTTAATTACTAATGAAGTACACATTTGTTGTCATGGTTTTATCCATTTGCATTTCTTTTATGAATTTCCTGTGTATGTCCTTTCACAGCTGGCTCTTGTTCCTTGAAGCTGCTTCTATGTAAATTATCTCCCAAGGTGGGAGAGAGGTGGAAGGATTGAAGATGCCTGGAAGCTTGTCCTTGCTGGAGGCTGGCTGTCCTCCCTCTTCCTGGGGTGCTCCTGGCCTTTATGCCCCCCCTCTGCAAGGTGCCCAGACAGGTCCTGTGCTCTCCAGGCTTTGTCCTTCACCGTTCTTCGCCTGCCTCTGTGTTCCCAGGATGCTCCTCCTCATCTCTGCTCCGTGATAGGTGAGGGTGGCAGAGCCACACACCCAGGCTGGAAGGAGACACTGTGGCCAGTGAAGCGAGGAGGGGAAGAAAGGATGGAAGCAATGTCCAGGGACAGGGTGATCTTTGTTGAGTGGACTCAGTCTACCCACCCCCTTCTACCACAGTCCCACACACATCCGGCTTAAGCTGTGAAGAGCTGCGTTCAATGGTCTACTCTCCCCTAAATCTTTGAGTTTCTCATAAATGGGTAATAGGACCCAGCGCCTCTTCCCCCCAAAATAGAACAAACAGCTTCCTGCAGCCCCTGAAGGCAGCCACCTTCAGGCAGGGATTCTAGGCCAAGGCTGAACCACACCAGAGCCTGAGCCAAGAGTGAGATTGGATCAGGAGCTGGGGATGGCAGGTTTACACTGCCTGATGCCCCAAAGGGGGGTTGAGTCCCAGAACTCAGCTCTGCTGGTTGCTGGAGGGGAGAATTTTTCTGCCTGCACAGGCCTGAGTTGAGTTTCACACACCATCCTGGAAAGCAAAGTGAGGAAGAAGAGCAGTGGTAGCCATCAGGGGCCGCAGTCTTATAACGGGTGGCAGAGGATGCCTGGGGCCACCCTTGCATGATGAGAAGTCAATGTAGAGACTGAGCCCCTTTAACCCTCCAACCCCCTATCCCTGGGGTTATTGTCAGGGAGGGGGGAGGGGCAACAGCTTAAGTGAAAAGCTGTTCTGTTCCCACCCCAAGCTGAGTCTGCACAAATGGGCTTCCGATTCCCTCAGGCACACTCAGCTGGGTGATTTCTCCATACCACAGGTAGGTGGAGAAGCTGAGACCGGATGTCTAAGGGTGCCACATATAGGTAAGTAACCCTGAATCTAGAGTCCGGGCCAGTCTAAGGAAATGCAGGGAAAGGTTAAGAGCAGAGGTATGACTACTGAGATGGCAGGAAGAGGCAAGCTGACTTCTGGACCTCACCTGGAAAGGCCAGTGGAAAGAATGAGGGATAAGGAGGGAGGGTCAAGAAAGACATCTGGGTAAAGGGATAGACAGGGTTTTCTTTGCTCCACTTCCTCCCACTGTCACACAAAGACGGACTAACTTTGGGCAGTCAGAGCCATCTATTCCCTCATTCAGTCAGGGTCTCTCAAATTGTTCTCTCTTGCCGCCCCAATCAGGGTGAAGGCTCTCCGACTGAACAAGGTTCCCTTTCCTGAAACATACCATCATCACTCCTGCTGTTCAGACCTTCCCAGACCCAGTTCTGTCACCTTCCAGATGAGCGGGAAAGCAGCTCCTTCTCCTCCTCCTTGAAGCCAGCGGCAGAGGGCAACAGTTCTTCAACTGGCAGCTTTAGCTGGGTCAGGACATAAAGCTTGCCACTGAAGAACTACTGCGGCTCAGCCAGGTGAGGGTGTGGGAGGTACAGGCTCCTAAAGGCAAAGGGAAGAAAAACGGGAAAGACCTGAGCAGGGCCATGGCACAGGGACACTGTCCATCCAAGTCCAGTCCCAGCAGACACTCAACCTCCTAAGGAAGGGTTCTTAGCCGGGGCCTGCGGGAGCTCAGTGAGAACGCAAGAGGGCAGCTTTAAACATATTTCCCTTGCTCCTCTTTCCAGAACTGCAGGAACCCAGGCTCTCATCTCCTTTACCCCAGCCACACATGGGGTGGGGGTGGGGGGCAGCCTACTCAGCATTGGGAAAAGGCAGGACCTGGGACCCTGGCTGGACACACCCTACCCTTTTCCAAGGTACTAGGTGAGAAGTTGTATCTCAGGTCCAGAAATGAGTTCAGTGATCAAGCCAACTGACTTCTCTCTCGAGAAGTTCACTCTGAAAAGTCTCTGGGGGCCCTGGGTCTCTGGGGAAAATTGAAGAAAGGGAAGAAGTCTAGAGTTGGAAGGTCAGCCTCTCCTCGTGGACTGGATGTAGTCAAGGGACACTAGCTGGAAGGGAAGGAGATAGCAGGAGTTGGCAGCCTCCCCTGGATCTCAAATGCCAAGC